ATGATGATGATGATGATATAATAATTATAATTAAAATAATAATACACTTTATTTATATTCCGCTCTCTCTCTCTCTCCCCCCCCCCCCCCCCCCCCAAGGAGGGGACTCAGAGCAGATTCCAACCTACACAGATAGGCAAACATTCATTGCCTTTTAAGACAGTGGAATAACAATGACGCACACTTACGCAGAGCAAAGGTCAAGGCCTCCCCTTTCATTTCCGGGTTCTGGAGGCAGTGCTCCACTCTGGCCACGGGGAGGAGCTGTTGTTCCATTTCCATTCCGAGGAGCCTGTTGTCCATAGACACTTCCTGCTCACATTGCCGGCATGGTGGCACAGGCACCTTTATTACCTTCCCTATTGATCTATTCACATGTCAGTGTTTTCAAAATACTAGGTTAGAAGAAGCTAGGGCTAACAGCAGGAGCTCACCCCGCTCACTGGATTCGAGCTGCCAACCTTCTGGTCGGCAGTTCAACAGCGTCCCAATTGCTCCATGTCTCCCTGCGGGGTGATGAGGAGGACAACGTAATAGTGGCCTGCGTGGCCCCGCCTTGTCCCCGCAGGCTCCCCGGCACCGGCCTCGCACTCCCCGCAGTCCCTGCTGATGGCCGGCGCCCGGCTCCAGAGCGCCCCGACCCTGACGGACATCTACCAGAACAAGCAGAAGCTCCGGAAGCAGCACTCGGACCCGGTCTGCCCCTCGTACGCCGGCCACGGCCACCCCGCGCCTCAGCAGCCCCCCCGCCCGGTCAGCCTGGGCACCTCGCCCACCAAGCACCCCGGCTCCTCTCCCCGCGGCTCCGACTGGCTCTTCAAGACCCCGCTGCCCACCATCATCGGCTCCCCCACCAAGGTGGGTGACGAGACAGCTCTCGGCCGAGACACCCCCCCCCCCATAATAGAGGAACGCTTGCCCGGAACAACCCCGCCCCCCGTTTGTCTCCCCGCTTCAGGCTACGGCGCCGTTCAAGATCCCCAAGACGCAAGCCTCCTCCAACCTGGTGGGCCTGCTCGCCCGCCCGGGATCCGCCGAGGCCCAGCTCCTGCCGGCCAAAGAACCGGGCGAAACGGCACGGGAGTTCCCCCACTTCCATTCCACGCAGGGGGCCGAGCGCCAGGCCCAGCAACAACAGCATCATCACGGGAAAGCCCTCTTCGGCAGGTAGGACGGCATTGGGGGTCTGGCTGGACTTGGCCAAGCTTCCCAAAGTTTTAGACCTGGAGTGGGCCAACTTTGGCCCTCCCTGTTGGGGGAGTGGGCTCATTAACAAAAGACCCTCCTCATACATGGACAGCAGAACAACTTGATCAGCAGCCGCAGCGTGACCCAGCACCAGGGGGACAAAAACACACAGACCAACTAACACAGAGGCCTACTCACACTGAGTTTTACCTCACACTGAGGCCTCTCTCAGAGTGAAGCCTCTTCATACTGAGGGCAACTAACACTGAGGCCTACCTCACATTGAGGCCTACTCACACTGAGGTTTACCTCACACTGAGGCCTCTCTCTGAGTGAAGCTTCTTCATACTGAGGGCAACTACATAGAGGCTTCTCATACACAGAGGCCTACCTCACACTGAGGCCTCTCTCAGAGTGAAGCCTCTTCATATTGATGGCAACTAACACTGAGGCCTACCTCACATTTGAGGCTTACTCACACTGAGGTTTACCTCACACTGAGGCCCCTCTCCGAGTGAAGCTTCTTCATACTGAGGGCAACTACATAGAGGCCTCTCATACACAGAGGCCTACCTCACACTGAGGCCTCTCTCAGAGTGAAGCCTCTTCATTTTGAGGGCAACTAACACAGGGGCCTCTCTCAGACTGAAGCCTACTTCACACTGAGGCTTACCTCACAATGAGGCCTCTCTCAGACTGAAGCCTCTTCATACTGAGAGCAACTAACAAAGAGGCCTCTCACACACTGAGGCCTACTAACACTGAGGTTTACTTCACACTGAGGCCTCTGTCAGAGTGAAGCCTCTTCATACTGAGGGCAACTACACAGAGGCCTCTCACACTGAGGCCTACTCACACTGAGGTTTACTTCACACCTGCTTATTTATATAGAACTGCAGCTTCTGCTGGGTCGTTGCATCCATTCAGTGTTTGACTCACATTTTTGTAATTAAAAATACCTAGTTAATTTTGAATATTTCTGACACTCCCTCCGGGTGTTTGGGACTCCCGCAATTCTAATCAGCATTACAAAGCAGTCTGGCAAATACGTATATTATGTTAAGGCCAATGACGAGGGTGGTGGTGGTGATGCTTCTCCTTGGTGGCTCCCTCTTTCAGGTCCGTCAGTACCGGGAAGCTGTCTGACCAGCAGGCCAAGGCCGCTCTGGGGGGGCAGGCCTACCAGGGCAGCACGGACAGCCTTAACGCCGAGCGCCCCATGGACACGGGTAAGGCAGGAAGACCCCCAGGTCTCGCACCCCCCCCCCCTTGACCCCCTTGCTGCTGCTCCTCCCCCCTGAGCCTCACCCGCGCGCCTGTCTCGCCCTCCCCGCAGCTCCCCCGGCGGCCTGCGTCCTGGCGGCCCCCCCGCCTTGCCTGGGCCCCGCAGCCGGTCCCCGGGCCGTGATGTTCACCGTGGGGTCCCCGCCCAACAGCGCCACCCCTCCCGCCTGCGCCCACATGCTGCTCCGCGCACGCACCACCTCCGGTGAGTGTTCACCATCATCAATTATTATTATTATTATGTCATATTTATTTAGTTACATATTATTTTTTATTGTTGTTGTTGGCCCAATTGTCATGTTTTGAACTGCTCTGAGTCTCACTAAGGGAGGAAATTGGGGTATTGTTGTTGTTGTTTGCCAAGTTTGGGCTTTTCTTACCATGGCTTCCATGTTATTCGCAGTAGGTTAGACCCTTGTGCCGGAAGGACTGCTGACCAAAAGGTCGGCGGTTTGAATCCATGGAGCGGGGTGAGCTCCTGTCTGTCAGCTCCAGCTCCTCGTGCTGGGACATGAGAAAAGCCTCCCACAGGATGATGTTGTTGTTGTTGTTGATGATGATGATGATGATGATGATGATATAATAATAATAATAATAATAATAATAATAATAATAATAATAATATAATAACAACCCGTGTCTCCTTGTGGCTCAAGGCATGATGGTGTTGATGATGATGATGATGATGATGATATAATAATAATAATAATAATAATAATAATAATAATAATAATAATAGATTTGTAATAATAATAACAACAATCCGTGGCTCAGGGCAGGATGATGTTGATGACGATGATGATATAATAATAATAATAATAATAATAATAATAATAATAATAATAATAAGTGTCTCCTGGGCAATGTCCTTGCAGACAGCCAATTCTCTCACACCAGAAGCGACTTGCAGTTTCTCAAGTCTCTCCTGACACACACACACAAATCATTTGGACAACAGTCTGGTAAAATGGCGTCTTTATTGTGGCAAGGTGAAATGTTTTCTTTCTAGCAATGTATTTGTATAAACTGTGGGTTGCGGCATCCGCGGATACGGGTCTCCTTGCAGCCCTTGAGCCGCGGATACGGAGATCCTTGCCTTCCCGGCTGGCTTGCCCTGAGCACCTTTGCACCTCTTTCCTTGCAGTGGGCTCCAACAGCTCTGGGGGCTCGCTGTGCTCGACCAGCGGGCGTGTCCCGGTGGGCTCCCCCCCGGGGATGTACGGGGCGGGGTCTTCTCCCCCCGGGGCGGAAGCGGCCCCTTCCTGCTTGAAGCACATGTCTTACGGCACGTCCCCGCCCAGCTTGGAGGGCTTCATCACCTTCGAAGCCCCCGAATTGCCCGAGGAGACGCTCATGGAGGTAGGGAGGTAGGGAGGGAGGGGGCAGCTGGGGGGGGGAGGGGGGGTCTCCAGGGCAGCCCCTCTCCCCCAGGGGCCCTTGTCCCCCCCACGAGCCAGCCCCGCTCTCTCTCTCTCTCTCTCTCTCTCCGCAGAGGGAGCACACGGACACGCTGCGCCACCTGAACCTGATGCTGGCCTTCACGGAGAGCGTCCTGGAGCTGACCGCCGTCCGGAGCGGGAACCCCGACCTCTGCGCCTCGGCCGTCTCTCTCTACCAGATCCAGGAGAGCGTGGTCGTGGACCAGATCAGCCAGCTCAGCAAGGAATGGGGGTGAGCCAGCAGCCTTCCCGGCCCAGGGATCCCAGGGTTCCCGGCCCAGGGATCCCTTCCTCCCCTCCCCTTTCTTTCCCTCCTTTTTCTCTTCCCTTCTTTCTCCTTCCTCCTTTTTCTTCCTTCACTCCATTCCTTCTATCTCTTTTCTTTCCCTCCTTTTTTCTTTCCTTCTTTTTCTTCCTTCCCTCCTTTTTCTTTCTTCACTCCCTCCATTCCTTCCATCTCCTTTCTTTCCCTCCTTTTTCTCTTCCCTTCTTTCTCCTTCCCCCCTTTTTCTTCCTACACTCCTTCCTTCTATCTCTTTTCTTTCCCTCCTTTTTTCTTTCCTTCTTTTTCTTCCCTCCTTTTTCTTTCTTCACTCCCTCCATTCCTTCCATCTCCTTTCTTTCCCTCCCTTTTCTCTTTCCTACTTTGTCTTCCCTCCTTTTTCTTCCACACTCACTTCCTTCCATCTCCTTTCTTTCCCTCCTTTTTTCTTCTTTCTTTTCCTTTCTTTTTCTTTCTTCCCTCCCTTCATTCCTTCTAGGTCTTTTATTTCCCTTCTTTTTTCTCTTCCCTTCCTTCTCCTTCCTCCCTTTTTCTTCCTTCACTCCATTCCTTCTATCTCTTTTCTTTCCCTCCTTTTTTCTTTCTTTCTTTTTCTTCCTTCCCTCCCACCATTCCTTCCATCTCCCTTCTTTCCCTCCTTTTTTCTTCTTTCTCTTCCTTTCTTTTTCTTTCTTCCCTCCCTTCATTCCTTCTAGGTCTTTTCTTTCCCTTCTTTTTCTCTTTCCTACTTTCTCTTCTTTCCCTCCTTTTTCTCTCTTCCTTCCCTCCCTCCTTTCTCTCTCCTCCCTCTTTCTTTCTCTTCTTTCTCTTCCCTCCCTCCCTTCTCCTCCTTTCTTTTCCTTTCTTCTTCCTTCTCTTACCTTCTTTTTCTTCCCCTCCTTTTCTCTCCTTTCCTTCCTCTTTTTCCTCCTTCCTTCCTTCCTTCTCTTCCTTCCTTTCCTTCCTTTCTTCCTCCTTTTTCTTTCTTCCTGCCTTCCATTCCTTTCATCTCCTTTCTTTTCCTCCTTTTTCTCTTTCCTTCTTTCTCTTCCATCCCTCTTTTTTCTTTCTTCTCTCCATTCCTCCTGTCTCCTTTCTTTCCCTTCTTTTTCTTTCCTTTCTCTTCCTCCCTTCCTTTTTCTTTCTTTCTTCCTTCCCTCCTTCCTTCCATCTTCTTTCCCTCCCTCCTTTTTCTCTTTTCTTCTTTCTCTTCCCTCCCTTTTCTTTCTTCCCTCCCTCCATTCCTTCTCTCTCCTTTCTTTCCCTTCTTTTTCTTTCTTTTCTTTTCCTTCCCTCCCCTCCCTCCTTTCTCTCCCTCCTGCTTTCCCTCCCTCGGAAACTGTAAATCCCAGAAGGAGGGAGGTCCCCAGAGGCGCTCCTTCCCCTCCTTCCTTCCTTCCCTCCTTCCTTGTTCATCTCCTTCTCTCTCTCCTTCTCTCCCTCTCTCTCTTTTCAGGCAAGTGGAGCAGCTGGTTCTGTACATGAAGGCGGCCCAGCTGCTGGCCTCCTCCTTGCACTTGGCCAAAGCACAGATCAAGTCCGCCAAGCTCAACCTCTCCACCGCCGTCAAGCAAGGTCCGTCCGTCCGTCCGTCCGTCTGCCCCCCCCCCCCGTTCCCCCCCCCCCCGGTTCTAGACGGAGCCCCCCCCCCCCCGTTCCTTCCCCCGCAGTGGTCAAGAACCTGAACGAGCGCTACAAGTTCTGCATCGGGATGTGCAAGCGCCTGACGGAGAAGCTGAACCGGTTCTTCTCGGACAAGCAGCGCTTCGTGGATGAGGTCAACAGCGTCACCGCCGAGAAGCTCATCTACGCCTGCGCCGTCGAAATGGTGAGTGAGGGGCCCCCGGGGGACTGAGCAGGCCGGGGAGGGGGGGGTGTCCTCAAAAGAGGTGGCCGAACCCCTTGGCTGGCCTGGCTTGGGAAAGGAGGGAGGCTGTTCCTTCCAGGGAAGGAGGAGGCCTGAGGAGGGACGGCCTCTGGGGGGAATTGGCCCACAGGAAGGAGGCCTGGGGGCAGCAGGCCAGTGGGAATCCAAACAGGGGCCACAATTGGCCCCCCAAGAAAGAAGGAAGGAAGGAAGTCAAGAAAGGAAGGGAGGAAGTCAAGGGGGTCTGGAGAGAGAGGGTGCGTGGAAATTTGAACAGGGGCCACAACTGGCCCCCAGGTGAAGGGGCGCAAGAGGCCGGCATCTCTCTCTCTCTCTCTCTCTCTCTCTGTAGCCAGGAAGGAAGGAAGGGAAGAAGGAAGTCAAGGGAGGGAGGGAGGAAAGAAGCAAGAGAGGGACAGAGGGAATCCAAACAGGGGCCACAATTGGCCCGTGAGCCGTCATCTCTCGCTCTCTCCCCCCCAAGAAAGAAGGAAGGAAGTGGAGAAAGGAAGGGAGGAAGTCAGGGAGGGCCGGTGGAAGTCCGAACAGGGGCCAACACTGACTTCACACACTCGTAAACGCGCCCAGGGCTTCCTTTTTGAATCCTGCCTGTTCTTTCACCGTTCTGGATGTTTGCACGGGGTCCGCAAGAGGGGTCCGACCCCCCTGCTGGCCTCAAGCCTAGTGTTTCCCCCCCCCCTTGCTCCCCTCCGGGCAGGTCCAGTCTGCGGCGCTGGACGAGATGTTCCAGCAGACGGAGGACATAGCGTTCCGGTACCACAAGGCAGCGCTCCTGCTGGAAGGCCTGGCCAAGATCCTCCAGGACCCGGCCGACATCGAGAACATCCACAAATGCAAGTCCCGGGGGGGGGGGGGGGGGGGGGGGGGGGCTCAAGGGGGGGCACTTAGGCCGGAAATGATGGGGAGGCTGGATTATTATCATTATATTATCATCATCATCATTATTGTCATGGCTGGAAACACTGGGTGGTTGTAGGTTTTTCAGGCTATAAATAGAAGCATTCTCTCCTGACGTTTTGCCTGCATCTATGGCAAGCATTCTCAGAGGTTGTCTTGGACTGCAACTCCCACAATTCCTAACCGCTGGACCACTCTCACAACCACCATGTCAGGCGACACAGAGAAGCCATTAAAGCCAGCATGTGGACAATTTCAACAGAAAGGAGGAAACCATGAAAAGAAACAAAATCTGGCTACCAGTATTAAAAAACTCTAAAATTACAACAGCAAAACTACAGAGAGGAAACAAAGAAGGACATCTAATCACCTCTCAACAAAAGATTGCCCCAGGCTCAGCCAAGCCTTTCAATGCTAATCAAGGTGGTCAGCTGAAACATTCACACCCAGCTCCAGCAGACAAGAGTCCTTTGTCCCACCCTGGTCATTCCACAGATATATAAACCCATTTTTCCTAGTTCCAACAGACCTCACTACCTCTGAGGATGCTTGCCATAGATGCAGGTGAAACGTCAGGAGAGAATGCCTCTAGAACATGGCCATATAGCCCAAAAAACCTACAACAACCCAGTGATTCCGGCCATGAAAGCCTTCGACAATACAATAATAATTACTTTTTATTATTTACTTATTATTATTGTAATTACTCATTATAATTATTATTATTTACTTATTATAATTGTTATAGTAATTATATTATTATAATACATTAATTATTTATATTTATTACATAATAATTAATTATAATTATTATAATTACTTTTTATTATTTACTTACTATAATTAGTTTTTATTATTTACTTATTATAGTAATTATATTATTATGATACATTATTTATATTTATTACATAATAATTATAATTACTTTTTATTATTTACTTATTATAATTATAATTATTTAATTATTATTATAGTAATTATATTGTTATAATACATTAATTATTTATATTTATTACATAATAATAACTTTTTATTACTTACTTATTATTTACTTATTATTATTACTTACTTATTATAATTATTATAGTAATTATATTATAATACATTATTTATATTTATCACATAATAATTAATTACTATAATTATAATTACTTTTTATTATTTACTTATTATAAATATAATTAGTTATTATTATTTACTTATTATAGTAATTATGTTATAATAATACATTAATTATTTATATTTATTACATAATTATAATAATAATAATATAATTATAATAATTATAATTAATAATTATTATAATCCCTCAGTTCTTGTGGGTTTTTTCGGGCTGTAGGGCCATGTTCTAGAGGCATTCTCTCCTGACGTTTCGCCTGCATCTATGGCAAGCATCCTCAGAGGGAGTGAGGTCTGTTGGAAATGGGAAAATTGGGTTTGCATATCTGTGGAATAATGACCAGGGTGTGACAAAGGACTCTTGTCTGCTGGGGCTAGGTGGGAATGTTTCAACTGATCACCTTGATTAGCATTTGATTGCCTGGCAGTGCCTGGAGCAAACTTTTGTTGAGAGGTGATTAGATGTCCTTGTTTGTTTCTTCTCTGTTGTTGTGCTGGTTTCCTCCTTTTTAACAAAGGATTGCTCCAGGCACTGCCAGGCCATCAAATGCTAATCAAGGTGGTCAGTTGAAACATTCCCACCTAGCTCCAGCAGACAAGAGTCCTTTGTCCCACCCTGGTCATTCCACAGATATATAAACCCTTTTTCCTAGTTCCAACAGACCTCACTACCTCTGAGGATGCTTGCCATAGATGCAGGCGAAACGTCAGGAGAGAATGCCTCTAGAACATGGCCCTATAGCCCGAAAAAACCCACAAGAACTGAGGGATTCCAGCCATGAAAGCCTTCGACAATACAATTATCATAATAATTAATTTACTATTATTGTAATTATTTATAATAATTAATTAATAATTAATACATAATAATAATTACGTAAACTTGCAGAGGGTTAAAATGCGGGAGCGTTCCCTCCCTGCCGACCTTCCGAATCCCCTTTTGACCCAACCGCCTTCTCCTTCCCTTCCAGATAAGGCCAGCATCGAGCGGAGGCTCTCGGCCCTTTGCTACGGTGCCGTGGCCGTTTACGAAGCGTAGCGGGACCCGCCGTCTCCGCAGTGGCCCCACCACCAAAGAGAAGATCCCAAACGGGCAGCCGGTTCCGTTCCTTGTAGACCGTTAACGGGATCCCGAACGCTTGGAATGGCGGCGGAGGCTGGCCTTGCACCTCGTCCTTCGCAGAAGCCGCCGAGCGAGCGAGGGACTGACTTCGTTGTCGTACAAACAAAAGAATTGCGGGAGAGGATTCCTGTATAGATACAAATATATATATATATATATTTCCCCCCTCTTCCCCTTTTTGTGGAACTAATCCCGAACTTTTGGTTCCATTTGGGAATCTTTGTAAATAACTGGAGAGGAAAACCTGCACCTTTGGAAAATAATAATAATTATAATAAGAGTAATAATTGAACAGACAAACAAAGAAAAAGACGGGGCGAAACAACAGAACGACGGGAGTTTTTATTTGATCTCGATTCGGACGATATTTTAGTCGTTTTTCCCCGCCGCTCCGAACCACTTTTATATTGCACTAATTACGTACTAAAGGAACGACGTGTTTGTGTTTTGGGGAGAGGAAGATGGACGTGCACACGAAAAGGCACAACAACGGGAGAGGAAGCGCTTCCCTTTGCCGCACAGGAAGGAGGAAGAACCATACCATCTCGATGTCGACGGCTCCACCCATCCGGGCCCGGGGCTTCTCCCGGTTTTGTATCTCCGTCGGATCGTCTTTCGCTTTCCGGGCGCCCGAATCCACCTCTTCCTCGACCATTTTGAACAGACTTCCTGCGGCCGCATGTGACAAATTGTACAGTGTTGCCCTGTATTACCTGTTTTTTAAAAATATTATTATTATTATTTAATGTTTGGTTCCATTTTGGATAAAGACGTTAATACAGTTTCGATCTACAAACTCAGACGCACTCGAAAAACCGTCGTTTTTCTCGTTTCCAGGAATTTCGACTTGGAAAAAAACCCGATACATATTTTTTATTTTTCCAAACGTCTTCAAGCACCAACTGTTTTCAGACCGTATGTATATATGTGTGTGTGTGTGTGTGTATTTGTGTGTGTGTGTGTGTGTGTTGGTGCCTCTCCTTTCTTCCCCGCCTTCTTCTTTCTGTCCTTTTCTTTCACCTTAGTTATCTCTTTGTCCCAGGAATTCTGATCCCGTTCGGTTATTCTTCCCCGTTTTTGATTTCTGCGGCGTTTGTATTTCCTGCGGCCCTTTTCGTAATACGGCGTTTCTACTTCCTCTCCTTTGTAACTTTGCATGCGGACACGCGGAGTTAGGGTAACAGGAACAAACCTGCAAAAAGAGAACCCAGTTGCAGGCATTTTTATGACGCCTTGTATAAATGTATATTAAAGTGAAAACCAAAAATAAACAAGATATTCGGGGATAAAAAAACAAAACAACAACAACAACCCAGAGTCCTGCAAATCCCATCATCCGTGGCCCATCCTTCCCCAAACCACATCAGGACGTAAAGTGGGTCATGGGGGGTCTCAGTGCCAAGTTTGGTCCAGGTCCGTCATTCATAGAGGTTGCAGTGTTCTGTGTAGATGGATGAAGGTACTACAAATCCCATCATCCGTAGTCCATCTTCTCCCAGACCACATCAGGACGTAAAGTGGGACATGGGGGAGGTCTGTGCCAAGTTTGGTCCAGGTCCGTCATTTGTGGAGATTGCAGTGTTCTGTATAGATGGATGAGGATACTGCAAATCCCATCATCGCTAGTCCATCTCCCCCCAAACCACATCGGGACATACAGTGGATCATGGGGGGGGGGGGGTCTCTGTGCCAAGTTTGGTCCAGGTCCGTCATTCGTGGAGGATGCAGTGGCCTGTGTAGATGGATGAAGGTACTGCAAATCCCATTGTCCGTAGACCATCTTTCCCCAAACTGCATCAGGACGTACAGTGGATCATGGGGGGGGGGGGGTCTCTGTGCCAAGTTTGGTCCAGGTCCGTCATTCGTGGAGGATGCAGTGGCCTGTGTAGATGGATGAAGGTACTGCAAATCCCATTGTCCGTAGACCATCTTTCCCCAAACTGCATCAGGACGTACAGTGGATCATGGGGGGGGGGGGGGTCTCTGTGCCAAGTTTGGTCCAGGTCCGTCATTCGTGGAGGATGCAGTGGCCTGTGTAGATGGATGAAGGTACTGCAAATCCCATTGTCCGTAGACCATCTTTCCCCAAACTGCATCAGGACGTACAGTGGATCATGGGGGGGGGGGGGGTCTCTGTGCCAAGTTTGGTCCAGGTCCGTCATTCGTGGAGGATGCAGTGGCCTGTGTAGATGGATGAAGGTACTGCAAATCCCATTGTCCGTAGACCATCTTTCCCCAAACTGCATCAGGACGTACAGTGGATCATGGGGGGGGGGGGGTCTCTGTGCCAAGTTTGGTCCAGGTCCGTCATTCGTGGAGGATGCAGTGGCCTGTGTAGATGGATGAAGGTACTGCAAATCCCATTGTCCGTAGACCATCTTTCCCCAAACTGCATCAGGACGTACAGTGGATCATGGGGGGGGGGGGGGTCTCTGTGCCAAGTTTGGTCCAGGTCCGTCATTCGTGGAGGATGCAGTGGCCTGTGTAGATGGATGAAGGTACTGCAAATCCCATTGTCCGTAGACCATCTTTCCCCAAACTGCATCAGGACGTACAGTGGATCATGGGGGGGGGGGGGGTCTCTGTGCCAAGTTTGGTCCAGGTCCGTCATTCGTGGAGGATGCAGTGGCCTGTGTAGATGGATGAAGGTACTGCAAATCCCATTGTCCGTAGACCATCTTTCCCCAAACTGCATCAGGACGTACAGTGGATCATGGGGGGGGGGGGGGGTCTCTGTGCCAAGTTTGGTCCAGGTCCGTCATTCGTGGAGGATGCAGTGGCCTGTGTAGATGGATGAAGGTACTGCAAATCCCATTGTCCGTAGACCATCTTTCCCCAAACTGCATCAGGACGTACAGTGGATCATGGGGGGGGGGGGGGGTCTCTGTGCCAAGTTTGGTCCAGGTCCGTCATTCGTGGAGGATGCAGTGGCCTGTGTAGATGGATGAAGGTACTGCAAATCCCATTGTCCGTAGACCATCTTTCCCCAAACTGCATCAGGACGTACAGTGGATCATGGGGGGGGGGGGGGGTCTCTGTGCCAAGTTTGGTCCAGGTCTGTCATTCGTGGAGGATGCAGTGGTCTGTGTAGATGGATGAGGGAGGACACTGCAAATCCCATCGTCCATAGTCTATCTTCTCCCAAACCACATCAGGACGTACAGTGGATCGGGGGGGGGGGGTCTCTGTGCCAAGTCCATCATTCGTGGGGGTCACAGTGGCCTGTGTAGATGGATGAAGGTACTGCAGATCCCATTGTCCATAGTCCATCTTCCCCCAAAGCACATCAGGACAGAGTGCGTTAGGGGGGGGTCTCTGTGCCAAGTTTGGCCCAGGTCCGTCATTCATGGGGGTCGCGGTGGCCTATGGAAGTTGGAGGCCCAGGCAGGAAAATATATCACCGCACCACCAATCCGCCTGTTGCACACATACACACATGCAAACATACATGCAAACTGAGTTTATTTACTATAGACAGAAGATAGGCATGATCCAGGATGGCTCCTAAATGACTTGATGCATCCGGACCAAACTTGGTAATTTGTGATCCAAGTTAGATGATGATGGGACTTGGAGTCCTAATGATTTGCCACTATTTCGAGGGGACGTGGCTGTCATTCCCGGCATTGTCCACAAGAAGGCAGCAGAGAGCCGTCTCCCTATTGTATGGCTGAGCGTGCAACCTCGGCCCTCCCTCCTGCGGCCGCCTTCACCCTCCAAGAATCCTCAAAGATGACTCCCAGTGTTTCTGACACGACTTCGATACTCTTGGGTGTCGCTCACCTGGCCCTGGAGACTTGGACTCGTGTAGAGTAGCCAGGTGTTCCTGGACTACTACTTTACCTATTTGGGGTTGCTTTTCCACTATTGCCTTGTCCACTCCGCATTCCTCAGGTTGCCAACATTGAGACTGAAACACAACACCGCCTGAGCTCTGCGAGTGCAGCATTCTTCCAAATGAAGCAGAGTGTGTTTGAGGACCGGGACATCCGTAGGGAGACCAAGGGGCTGGTTTATAAATCTTTTCTCCTCCCAACCCTGCTATACACCTGCGAGACGTGGACTGTCTACAGACATCACATGCAACTCCTGGAACAATTCCATCAGCGCTGCCTCCAGAAAATCCTGCAAATCTCTTGGGAAGATAGGCAGGGAAATGTCAGTGTGCTGGAAAAAGCAAAGACCACCAGCATTGAAGCGATGCTCCTCCGTCATCAACTCCACTGGACCGGCCATGTCGTCCAGATGTTTGACCACCATCTCCCAAAGCAGTTGCTCTACTCTGAACTCAAGAATGGAAAATTGAATGAGAGATTTAAAGATGGGCTCAAGGCCAACCTTAAAAACTCTGGTATAGACACTGAGAACTAGGAAGCCCTGGACTGTGAGTGCTCCAGCTGGAGGTCAGCTGTGACCAGCAGTGCTGCAGAATCTGAAGAGGCACGAATGGAGGGTGAAAGAGAGAAAGGTGCCAAGAGGAAGAAGATGCATCAAGCTCAGGTTGCACGCGAGAGGACAGAGGCCACGAAGGCGTTGAGGAGCGCGGCCTTTCCCCCGTCTCTCCCCGTTAGTACCGCACCACTCTCTCCTCGCAGAGGCCCTGCCCTTCTTTCCGCATTCTACCGACTTAACCAAAGAACCCTTTTGCCTTGTTTTCGATCCCTCTGGCAAGCTCGAGAACCGGTTCCTCCCCAAACGGGTTCTGCGGCCAAGAGCTGATTGCTCAGATCGCATTGCGTGAGAACAGGACCGCGATTTGGTTTGCCTTCCAGCTTGGCCTCGGGGGTTCTTGGAGCCGAACCCGTCATCCCTGGTGATTGCCACCAAGTGTGTTGTGTTGGCGGCGGGTCCGTAGGTCACTTTAGAGAGGCCTAATCTTGATCCGTACGTTCTCTCTTTCGCAATGAAGGCATCGATTTCCAAGTGGAAGGCGGCCTTCCCAGTTCTCTCTCTCAGTTTTAAAACTTGGCTTTGATCCCATCTTGGCACCTTTCTCCCTTTCGCCCTCCATTCGTGCCTCTTCAAATTCTGCAGCACTGCTGGTCACAGCTGGCCTCCAGCTGGAGTGCTCAAGAGCCAGGGCTTCCCAGTTCTCTCTCTGTGTTTACGCCACAGTTTTCATGTTTGGCTTTGAGCCCATTTTTCAATCTCTTTTCCTGTCCACTAACATTACATTTTCCGTTCTTGAGTGGAGAGTAGAGCTTTGAGAAACTGTGATCGGAGTTGATGGTGGAGGAGCGTCGCTTCAGTGCTGGTGGTCTTTGCTTCTTCTTCCAGCACGCTGACATTTGTCTGCCTGTCTTCCCGAGAAATTTGCAGGATTTTCCAGAGACAGCACTAATGGAATCATTCCAGGAGTTGCATGTGACGTCTGTAAACAGTCCACGTCTCGCAGGCATATAGCAGGGTTGGGAGGAGAAAAGATTTATAAACCAGCACCTTGGTCTCCCTACGGATGTCCCGGTCCTCAAACACTCCCTGCTTCATTCGGAAGAATGCTGCACTCGCAGAGTTCAGGCGGCGTTGTATTTCAGTGTCAATGTTGAGGTCTGTAGACAGTCCATGTTTTGCAGGCGTAGAGCAGGGTTGGGAGAAGAATGGCTTTATAAACAAGCCCCTTGGTCTCCCTACGGATGTCCCGGCCCTCAAACACTCTCTGCTTCATTCGGAAAAATGCTGCACTCGCAGAGCTCAGGCGGAGTTGTATTTCAGTGTTGATGTTGACTTTGGTGGAGAGGTGGCTGCCAAGGGAGTGGAAATGGTCAACATTTCCCAGCATTACACCATTAAGGTGTATTTC